GCATCGTCGATGAATAATTTTGTCCCACATTCACATTCTAGAAGTTTCATCCAGCTGTGATTGTATGAAAACATCTGATAGCTAAGAGCTCCTGCAGACTTGTGCTATCCATCCCAAGAATGGTAACATCACGGACAGTTTGTTGAAACTGTTACAATACCTGCTGACTGAATGTAGAACGCTACAGAGAAAACAATTCATAATACATATTGGTGATAATACGTCCTTCAGTCGTACTTCTTTTAGCATCGACTTGAAGTGATAATGACATTTTTCGTCAGTCTAATGCATTGTAAATAATCATAAAAATGAAGAAATGGAGAAAAACTCTAAAACACATTTCTTTTTCGTCGTATTATTTTACATCGGACTAATCTTGATGTATTTTAATTTATTTAAGAATGTATGACGTGGACTATTCTATGGCTGAAGATTTCAGATATGGGAAAGGATTAGGTTGTAAATTTGTGATGAACAAATGTTCCGATTTCATTAGTAGTAGAAAAAGCAAGTAAGACAGAAATACAATTCGTGTATTCGAATATTATAAAATTAACGGCTTTTTAGTTTTTGTCATTGCAGCATTATAATGTAACAAGTTAAACGTCCATTGAGACTTCGCAAAAGAATACCTACGTTTTCGTATTGCTATTGTAACTGCAGATATTTCAACGAGCAGATCACTAAGTATATAGTTTAATATAAAATAACTCAATAACATGAGATTCCATTCTGTTACAGTTTGAAAAATGAAAGTAACCTTTATTTGTTTCATCAGTGGAAATTTTCGACGTCCGAGTTCATAAAATGCCACGAGAAAATGATCAATAATACAGACAACTGATTGATCACCAATACATATCAGTCTCACATGAGGTCACCCAAGGGCCCAAATAGCTCAATGGAAAGTCCCTGATTGTTAAAGTTGCTAAGGTGAGATCAAATACACTCGCGAACATCGATTTCTTCAAGAAGAGTAGTACACATAGTCGGAGAGTGCGAAATAACATGGCGCATACGTCAGAGTACAAAGGGAAACACGTCTGAATACAACAATAGGTTTATTGATAGGAACCAGAAAGATCATCGTTTGTGCAGTTTATTAAGCGTGAATACTTCGTAACTGGAATTGTTCGATAAATTGACTGAGCATATAGAGCTAATATACTAAAATAACTGATGTTATGTTCATATTTCTACTATTGTTTAGTTATCTCACGCTCGAAATTCTAATCAATGTTTAGCGCTTCCTAATTTGCAACAAACAAAGAAGCCCTTTGACGTCTGACAACGGTAGAAGTAGCTTAGACAGACAATTTTCTTTCAAATTAGACCCTCTGTTGGTTGGTCAGTCTTATTTATAGGACACGTTCCATATATCTTTGTTCATATTAAGTACAATGGTAATTCGCAAGACAAAGTAATTAAACTTGTAGAATCTAGTCGAATATTGAATACAAAGAATGTTCCGTTATCTTTTACAAAGTAGTGAAAATTATTGGAAATTGTTAAGTATTTAACAGTTTTAAATCTTAATAATTTTTAACATGTTACGCCTTGCACATTTTTATAGAGGACAAGATATCCAACCGTTCTGCGATACTCCTGGTGAGACAAAATGTTTAAATTATGAAAATGCCTATGGATATTGTAAGTATATGGATAAACCAAAATATCCTGGTTCCGATGATGATTGTCCAGTATTAGCTGTAAGTTGGCATCGTTTCGCATAAAACTAAGTCAGTCAAATATTGTGATATTTGGTTTTTATATATGTTTGAAACATCGGCTTAAATACTCATGTAGTGTATGAATATTTTCGGTGACAGGTACACATCTTTCAGAACAATAATGAATCAATGCCAATTCCCTGATAGTTTTGTTTATCTGCGTATGTTTGAGCATATTTTGGGTCGCTAATGTATTTCCTCAAACTTCTACAATTACACTTTGTAGATGATTTATTCAGCGACTCGATCAAATGATTGTGACGGAATCTCAGTCGGCAGCAATGCACACTAGTCTCTTCACAGTTACTATCTAATTCATTTCACATTTTATACTCTCCGTGAATTTCTACTCCAGCATTATTCTGCATCAGTATTCATCAGGACCCTACGTTCAGTAGTATATGTCGTATGTTAGTTATTTAATATGACTCAAATAAAAAGTGTGTGAATTCGAATCATTGGATATCTTTGATATGACGAAACTTAGGAAGTTATATTATTCACTGTATTCAGATCATGAATCGATCAATGTTCGACGACCTTTAGAATCATGGTGGCATGGAACAGCTGTTTCTTCTCACCAGCAGACTCATCAGAAGTTAGGATGATCTCATGATTTCGATGGAAATCAACAATTCGTATTCTAATATAAAAGCTGGAGTTTTGCTCCCAGCAGAAATATGACCAACTATCCTTTTCATTTGAGTCAAATTCTAGTCGAAATAGTAAACAATCACTTTCATTGTTATGATGTGATTAGTGGTAACACAACTTCTCTCTTTACATTTCCATTACTCGAGTTTGCAGTCATTACTGCAAAACACTTGCATAGGTCTCGAGAAATTTTATTCAACATCTGACATTATTTACACATTTGTACCTGTATTTATAACTTGATTCCTTATATCTGACTAAATTGTCATTTGGCCCTCTTTGTGTTAATCATATTTACTCTGATTAGTCATACCCTAATTCCATTCAAGTGAAAACTTTATTTCAGGCATCCTAATGTATGAATGACGTCTTATAGGAGTATACTAAAGCGTATAATTTAGAATCCAAAATCAATACATTTATTCAAATGTCTGACAAAACGTTCAATATATTTCATTGGTAGGGTTGTTGAATATACGCTGAGAGCACCAGACGAGAATCTAACAAATGAAATAATATTCATTCATTTACTCACCTAACGTTGTTCCAACTTACTCATTTACAAACTAACTAACTTGTGTAAGTTGATTGTCTGATAACAAGAAAATTAATATACGACATGACAATCGACAGTGGCAGCAACATGATAATGGTCATCAATGTGTTTTACATAATTTCTATCTAAAAAACAAACACATTTGTACTTTATTTGTTAACTTAAACAAATTATGATGAAAAATTATCTTTGATATTTGAAATGAATTGATATACAGAATTCACCATTTTACCCGATAGATACTGAGTGTTTACTATGGTTTGCCAACTGTTTGCAAATTCAAAAGAAACGTTCACTCAGGTTGGTTCATACAACGTATTATTTGTGTGTCTGCACATAAGTAGGTATATTTTAACACCAATGATGAATATCATGTTTGATCAGTGTTAGACATCATTGATGAAAGTGTAATGTAATAATATATAAGTTGATTGTAACATATTCATCACACTGGATAGCTGTGACCACGTGAGAATAGTCTTTAAATCAAAACAAGGTTTCAGATATTATACGTTTGTGATGTGTTCAGACTTTGTGTGCAGTATAGGCTGAAGATTTAGCTTGAGTACCACAGATGGAATTATGGAATGGGCAATTGCTTGTTTCATTATTCCGAAACACATATCAATCCCTCATCAAAAATATTCCAAAAAATTATTGTTATAAGTACTATAATATAGTGCCCCGGTTCCTGAAGCATCTGTTGAACGTGATCAAGATCCACCAAACTTCTGAGACAGAAGTGCGCACGCACGCTTCATCGCATACCATTCAATCATCTCAAGCATAAAAACCGAACAAAAGCTATACACTGTCCAGTTACAGTGTGTATTATATATATTTTCGAACACTGTGAATGAAATGCTTTAATGTTAGAATAAATGCAATGTTCATAACTGACAGATAGTTTCATTAATTTGCTACAGATTTGATAAGAAATCGATACCTGGAATATTTCGGTTCCGATTCAGCCTGCTTTGATCATACTACAATGATACATTCTGATGGAAGATCAAAAAACAAAACTTTCAGCAGAAAGGCAGCTTGTCATCAAGTAGGTTATTGATTTAGTTAACATCTTCAATATTGTTTATAATTAGTTGGAGAAACACTTTAAGTACAAAGTGAGTCGTTCTTTCGAATTATTTACAGTAATGTCTGTCAGGTTCTTAGACAAACAATCCATCTAGAAATTAGTCTTGTCAGTCAAACATGCATAGCAGTAAACTTTGTTTCCATATTTCATTTGGTCAGATGTTATCTGCTAAAATTTCACTTCGGTTTTTTTGAATTCAATGCGTGATCTACGATGAACTGATGACATCGAGCATGAAATACAGACATCACGAATAGTCCCATACACAAATAGACCACTGTGTCAATGCATGCATGTTAACATTATAATCCGGATAACATCAATTTTCTTTCGGATAGCACTGACGGATCTTATTCATTTATGGTTGTATTTGAATTCTTCACATTATGTTATCTCTTAAATAGATGCTCGGCTCTGTGAGCTGTGTTATAAGATCCAGACTAAATAATGTGTCGCTCTCCTCATAATTAGTGAAGAAATCTATTTCGGATCTCAAAATCATGCTTAAGATGATTCAGTCTGCTGCGATTTCAAAAGTACTCTAGTTAATATAAGAGAGACAAATTGAAGCAACTAAAAGTTAGAGCTGAGCCGGTGCTCGATTTAAAAATGAATTTCTACAGTTAAGAACTTTTAGTACTGAAATTCTTATTGTTGACATGTTCTTGTTGTAACAATCGCCTAGAAAAATATCCGTTGGGGTAACTGTGGAGAGTTTGTTACTGTAAATATGCAATTTCAAGATTTACACAGAGACATATGAATGTAGAATATTCTATTATAGTTAAGTGAAAAGATTGATAATCACGTGCTATAGAAATAATCATATTGCTTACTGACTGTCTGCTAAGTGTTCAATATATTTTGAGGCGATGAAATCGTATAAGCTTTAATTATTCACCTTCGGTGTGGCAAACTGTTTTGCACATTGTACTTTCATCTATTTAAATAAATCTTTTATCAGTTTCAATGCTCAAAACGTACTGGTCTTCAAGTGGTACTCAACGGAACAAGTTTCAATTGCCCTCCTAGTGGTGGATTGATCAATGTTCAGCTGAGTGGGAAAAACACTGTTGTTTACACCACTATAAACTGTCCTCCTTGTCTGTCGCTGTGTAAGGTTAGTTTAACTTTTCCTTTAGTTTTTTATCTAAAAAACGTCGACAATATGTCACTCATGCTACTCTGAACAAAGTATCGTTGAATGTCTGCTGGTTTCGAACACATAAGAATTTTACCAACTCTTGGATTAAAAAATCATTCTAGGTTGCCGAAAACCATTTATCATGCTCAGTTCTAACGTGATGAAGCATTGTATTCTGTATTGAACATAGATAGCAACTTCATTGATGTGTTTGTGTTGTGCTGGTTGTGTTAACCATTTCTACAACATTCTGTTCCAATTTCACCACTCATGGAACATTTCTGAAATAAATGAAGCACTGGCTTGGCTATTGACTGACCGAAGACTTTTTTGCGTATTACGCACGAGTACACTTACAATTGTTACTGACTTGTGATGAAGCAAGTTGATACTGTTGCTCCGAATGTTTCAAATTTGACGAATGCTAACCATGACTGCAGCACAATATATGTATAAACTTCTAACTATTCTTCCGTCTGCATATTTTTCGCCTTGTAGAAACGTTGTCCAAGAACATGAGACACCCATCGATATCATCATTTAAATGTACTCATCAACGTAAAAAATTCGGCGATTACTTTTTTTCTCAAGTGAATATCGTTTGTTTCGTTCAGAACAATACGTTTAAAACACTCCATATTTGTCTGTTTTTAATTAAGTCTATATAAAATATACCTTGTTCTGATCAAAAATATTTTGTTTACTGTTTATCGCTCGTATGGTTGTTACATGTTCGAGTTGCTGTGATATCCACTTACTCATTAAAAGTGGAAGTAGATTTGAAAATTCACCACAAAATTGTATGCTCATTCACGCGGTATATATTGATTGACGCGGTCGTGGATCGGAAGTAATCACTGTATTTATTCTGGTTTATATCGATGGTGTAAAACGTCCACCAGTTTGTTAGGCACCTGTGTTGTCGCACCACTAGATTAAGCCGAACTGGGTAAATTCGATGCTAAAACTGACTGCATTGTGATTTTTATGTCTATCGTTTTTCACAAACAAAATATCATTTTGTTTGCGTTTTTGCACACTCAGTTGATTGGTTGAGTTGTCTTCTGATTGAAATCAGATGTTTATCCACTATTATGTATATTCGGAAGCCTGAAGTATTATGTAATTAAATAGGTAGAAGTTGAATAGTTAGATAACTGTTCTGAATGTAGGTGGATATTGCGAAATTGTATGGTGTGAAAAGTGAAGCAATTCTATTGGTCACGTGCAAAATGAAAATAATGATGATTACAGAGAGGTGCTTACTGGTTCTTATTTCTAAAAGTGATTCAAGCAGTTTCAGCGAGGAAGTGTGACAAGTGAAACTTAGTCATGTTGAAAATGAAGAAATCACTCATTGGTGAAAGTGAGATATGGTTTCGCTTGCTTTCGGATTGATTGACAATACTCACGTAAACCGGGAGATGTAACGTCTGTACCTAAGAACATTTTATCAACGTTGAGCGAGTGCCTATTACCTACAAAGACAACATCGTAAAAGTATAATACGGCCTTTTTTCGGCATGCTGGAAAACTGAACGAATTAAAGATGGATCTCAGCTTTAGGTTCCTGGCTTCTCACGATTTACTCAATGGAGAGGAAACAACTATGGAGAACATATAAAACAAGGATCAAGGAGGCAATTACATTTACAAGTCAGAAGGTTCTGGAGCACATGAAGCGCAGTGGATCTCTGTCAGTACTCTTGAAAAAAATTCAAGAATAAAGGAACATGAAAATATCAATCAACATCATCCGAACAAGATTAAAAAGTGAATGCACAAGCTGAAAACACGGAAGCGAAGAAGCAAGGGAAGAGAAGCGTTGAAGCAAAAGAAGGTGAATATGTGAAAGATCTTGCAATGATGGCAGAAAAAGCTGTAAGACAAGGACCAGACAACATTCCAGCGAACTCAAGGAAAGCAGACGCTGAAGCAACTGCAAAAATACTTCACATTCTCTTCAACAAGATTTGGGATGATGAACAAGTACCAACAGAATAGAATGTCAGACAACTGTTCAGAATACCAGAAAGAAATGCAATCGCAGCGACTTTGATAACCAGATAGTCATAAAACTTCTCGCAATACCAAGCAAAGTCTTCAACAGGGTGACCTTGTTCATGCTTCACGTCGGTGTTGACAGTCTGGAATTCGTAAGGATCTTTTGTTCATCTAACAATTCGCAACGTTACGGATCATTGTGGAACAATCAATCGAATAAAACTCACCAGTCTACATCGACTTCATCGAATGCAAGAAGGCATGGACAGGAAAACACTATGGAGGCTACTTTGACACTATGGCGTGCCTGAGAAGATAGTCAACGTCATGCCGAATTCTCCCGGTGGATGGAGGACATCTGACAGACTCGTTTGAGGTGAGGACCGATGTATGGCAATATTGCTTACTGTCAACCTTTCTCCTTCTCTTGATGATCGACTGGATTATGAAGACGATCTGACTTTTCTAGCACACACGCAAAAACGAGTGCAAGAGAAGACGGTCAATGTAGCGGCAGCCTTAGCAGCAGCTAATCTGAACATACAGAAAGTGAAAAGCATAATTCTTTGATACAACACAACATTCGTCGACCAAATCACTCTTGATGAAGATGCCTGGGAGGACGTCAAAACGTGCACATTACTGGACCACATCATTGACCAGCGAAGTGGATCCAATGGAGATGTAAGGCCGCAGATCGGCAAAGCAAGCTTCAAACAACTATCAACCAACATCAACATCAGAATTTTGAATACAAATATCAAGACAGTTATACACAATGATGTGAACTATGAAAGCCATCATCCATATGATACAAGTATTTATCAACAGTTGTCTACGCAAAATACTTCGGATCCGTTTTCAAGTCACCAAGTTTGATCCATTGTCACTCTACACGTCTGTTGGCCTCCCTATTCTTCCGATAAAACGTAGCAAAGCCATTATAAATGAGTCGGTATTTAGACTGTATGTCATCTCAATATGTACTGCTTGTGTCTGCAGGCAGGTAAACACACATCCATATCTTTTTTCTAGTGACCTAACCCTCTTGACCAGAAGAGGTCCAAAGTAGCCTACTCCTGCCATCGAGAAACTATACTAACCTCCTTGCACTCTGTAAACTGGAAGTGGCGCCATCTTTTGATTCCCTGGACTTAGAGTAAACCTTTGGCAAGTTTCACACCTTCCTATTACTCTCTTAACCGTGCTGGTGCCTTTAACTATCCCATAGTACTTGAGAACCGTAGCCTGCACATGCGAAGTTCCCATATGTCCTTCTTCCTTGTGATAGTGTCTGATTATCAATTCGGTTACCCAGTGTCGACTAGGCAAAATTACGGGATGTTTCGATGCACTCCTGATTTCGGAGTACCTTTGGCGGCCTCCGACGCAGAGTAACCCATCAATCATTATCGGTGCTAAACCTCTCAGACGTTTATTACTCGCTGGCTTACGACTAACGTTAGATTCGTTAAATAGTTCTCCGAATACCTCCCTTCGAACAATCATTAGAACTTTCCGTTTGTGTGACTCAAGCTCCTTGACCTTTAGGTAACCTGTCGTAACAGAGGCTTCAATTCTCGGCGAGCGAAGTACTATCCAGAGGTCTATGAAGCTTCTGAGCCACGCTACAGCCCTAACCAATTTCATCCATTCCGAGTAATAAGACAAGATAGGTGACGAGGTATTTATCTTGCTACTCAAGTTGAACGCAGCTTCTCTGAACTCGACTTGGTCCATATTAGGTTCTGGGTTGTTAGTGGTAGTACCTGAATTGCTATACAGCAGTGTAGGACATTTAAACCAGGTCTTTAGATCATTCATAATAATAATAATAATAATAATAATTTATTCTCAAATCACTACGTTACAAGAGTCACGCCAGTTTACAGGCTAGATCAAATTGTCACAAATGCTTTCACAATTACTGTTAAGTTATAGCAGTTACATTAAGTATAAGAGTCAGTTTCTGATTGCATATTTACACCATGTCACTGACAGAAACAGTATTGTACAGCCTCATTTTCAATAGTAGAGTACAAATAGGGAAGGTGCACAATAGGTTCTTTTGGCGATTTGTCGAGATCAATAGTGAATTTGTTGGGAGAGGTCATATGGAACGCGCTTGATACCAACTGTGATCCAGACAGTCATGTACACAGGGTGCGTGTTCCCTAGAGGTGCCAAGGATTTCCCACCGTCAATAAGGTTTTGAAAAGGAGAAGAGAGAGAGAAAAAGGCAGCAATGTGGCAAGTGTATATATTTAACCAAAGCACTACTTAACCTGTCATGTTGAAGTAGTCAATACAGTAGACAAGACCACTTAAATTAAAGTAAATTATGGGAATATAAGAATATAACACACAGATAAAGGAGTAGAGAAAAAAAAGAAGGGAGAGTTGTGCAGTGTCGGGTGGATAGAAGAGAAGTCGAAGTAAGAAGCTGGATTTATGTACGTTGAAATCGAAATTCTAGTTGAAAGAGTAGAGTTTGCGAAAATAAAAATTTGATGAATAAAATCTCGCACTGTCTAACTGTTTTTTTTCTTTATTATTGAATGCCAACCTCTAAGTCATACTGTAAGCGCCTGAGTAAGAATGTTGCGTGTGTCTCGACAGAATAGCGACCTCAGCATAGTTTTAGAAACATGAACCACAGAAGTAGCAAGCGTATAATAGCAACCTCAGTGTTACTGATTAGTCGTCTCATCAATCTAAAGAGCCGAAAGCAAACAAAATGTTCTGCCCCACAAACATGGGTGGTTTGAAGTTATCGCCCACACCATCAATGTTTGCTGGTCAGTAACTCCACCCTCCCTCCTTTTGTGTTGTTAGGCTCATGTTAAATGTTTAAAAGAAGCTATTGAGTTCTACTTGGTGTTCTATGTCTCGCATCCTGTTGAGAAACACTATTTCTGCAAGTTCCTTTCACAAACTCGTCTGGCTATTACAACTTATGAACTATTGGTTAG